AGTGTTTTGGGAGCTAGTGTTGGGGAGGAGCAGAGATGCGGGCAGGGAGAGCCTGGGAAGCTGTTCTCTGGGGTCTGGGTGGTGACAGTTTGAAGAGGGGCAGGAGGCCCTGCCTATATCACTCCATTTCCCCTTTCGCATCTGCAGAGAGCTGGGGGCCGCCCAGTAGGTGCCAGCTGTGGGATGGTCGCTCTTTGGCCCAGTTCTCCACTTCTCTTCTCCTGGGAACCGCAAACCTCCTTTTCTTCTCTGCTCTTCCAGATCCTACAACCAGAACTCTGTGCCCCAGGATGGAGGCTCTGGCCCAGAAGGCTGGGCAGGGAGGAATCCCCACGGCCGATGCCCGGTCTGCCTCTGGGGCCTGGGAGAAGAGGCCCGAGGAGCCGAGGCCCCTCGAACAGGACCGAGCTGGGAGCCGCCCCACTCAAAAGGGGGACCTGCGTGGAGGGATGGCGGACGGTAGGATGACTCCCCCAGGCGGGGGCTCCCAGGGCTGCAACCTCAGGGTGAGCCCGGGCTCGGGGACCCGGCACAGCGCGGGGACCAGACCCCTCGTGCGGGAGCCGTGCAGCCCCACCTCTTCTCAGGACCCTGAGCTAGTTACCCGCGAGGGGCTGCAGGCCGGGGAGGACCCCTGTGGGAGCCCGGCGCGTGGCAGGGACTGTAGCAGGAACTCCTGCCTGGCGCGGCATCGCGGGGTGCCCGCTGGGGAGACGCCACCCGTGTGTGAACCTTGTCCGGAGCGGCTCCAGAACTGCCCCCGGACTCAACTGTGTGAGGTCCACACGGACTGTTGGCCGTGCCAACTGGGGACGGGCGCTCCGACCTGCCCAAGGACCCCAAAGCCGACCTCCCGCGGGAGGAGCCCCTCGGTGGAGCAGCCCCAGGCTTGCGCGTGCGGAGAGGCCTTTGCGTGGAGGGCCCTGCGGATCCCCCAGGAGCGGCTACAGGCGATGGAGGAGCCCCGTCCGTGTGCCCGGTGCGGGAAGCGCTTCCGCCCCAACCAGCAGCAGCAGACGGGCAAGGGCCCCCCAGTGTGTCCTGAGTGCGGCCAAACCTCGCGACCTCGCCCGGGTGTCCCCAGCCCCCCGGCCCAGCGGCTGTACGCTTGCGACGAGTGCGGCAAGGCCTTCACGCGCACCTCCAGCCTGCTGCAGCACCAGCGCATCCACACGGGCGAACGGCCCTACGAGTGTGCCGAGTGCGGCAAGGCCTTCGTGCGCTGCTCCGGCCTGTACCGCCACCAGAAGACGCACTCGGCCGAGCGCCACCGCCGTGGCCCAGTCCTGGCCCGGCGCGCCTTCCGGCTGGGGTGCCCGCCCTGCGGGGACTGCGGCGAGCGGAGTCCCCGACGGGGGTCGGGAGCCGGGGAGAAGCCGTACGAGTGCGCCGACTGCGCCAAGGCCTTCGGGCTGTTCTCGCACCTCGTGGAGCACCGGCGTGTGCACACCGGCGAGAAGCCCTACGCTTGCCCCGAGTGCGGCAAGGCCTTCAACCAGCGCTCGAACCTGAGCCGGCACCAGCGCACGCACAGCAGCGCCAAGCCCTACGCGTGCCCACTGTGCGAAAAGGCCTTCAAGGGCCGCTCAGGCCTGGTGCAACACCAACGCGCGCACACCGGCGAGCGGCCCTACGGCTGCCCCGAGTGCGGCAAGACCTTCCGCGGCTGCTCCGAGCTGCGCCAGCACGAGCGCCTGCACTCGGGCGAGAAGCCCTATATCTGCCGCGACTGCGGCAAAGCCTTCGTGCGCAACTGCAGCCTGGTGCGCCACCTGCGAACGCACACGGGCGAGCGGCCCTACGCGTGCGGGGAGTGCGGCCGCGCCTTCAGCCAACGCTCCAACCTCAACGAGCACCAGAAGCGGCACGCGGGCCGCGCCGCGCCTTGACCACCGGGAGCCGACGCGTCGCCCAAGCGAACCCTGCGTCGAGGAGGGGCCTTTGTCCCGGAAAACCCACTGTTTGTAACCTTGATTAAACTTCACTTTGTACACATGGCGTCCACAGGCTTCCACTAACTCGAGTTTTATTTGACCTTTTCTAACAGGGCACACAGCATCTGGTTGCAGGCATACGCAGTAATAATCTCGAGTGGCCGCAGATCCGGCCCAGACGCTGTGTCCACGATCTCTGTCCACACAGAGCCGCGGTGCCTGTTACTTGGCTCTCTGGTATGCGAGGAAACGGGGAAAAGTGACTCTCCAGAGGCACAACCATAAGACGGTGAAGGCAGGATTCGAACCTAGGGCCTCTCATGCCCCTTAGGCGGCTTCAGGAGCCTTGGGACCTCGGGGTGTTTGCACACGCTCTACCGTAGCCAGCCTGGCACAGCTCATAACCCTCCAGAGGTGAGACCTCAGAGCAGGCTTCTGCCTGTCCCGGCCCTGGCGGCTCCGTAGTCGCGGCAGAAAGGGTTCCCTTTGGTGAAGTGCGATGCCCTGGCAAGCTTGCCCTGGTCTGACTGACGGTCGGGGTCGCCCTATTGTCGTCCCCTGCCGGACTCCAGACTGAACTGAATCTCCCCAAGCCTCCGCAGTGTGAGTGGAAGTGGGTGCCTGAGGTGTCAGCACAAAGTCCCCAGCACCGCAGAGGTGAGAGTCCACCGGGATCTAGCACAGCATGCTTTTTCCCAGCTATGTAAGTGGCTGTCCATGGCTATGATTCCAGTTTCTCCCTGCATTTCATCCACGCTGGTTCCAGACAGACCCAAGGCTCCCACTCCAGAGGCTGACTGGAGCAGGCCGACTAGGGACAGATCTGTGCAGAGCACCTTGCCCTTTGGCGTGCGGTTTCCTCCTCACACCAGCTGGGAGGGCCGGGAGGATGCTTGCTCCTGGCTCAGCTAGAGCACTGGAGAGGGCAGAGCCCTGGGCCCTCAGGGCCTAGGCCTTGTTGCTTCCAATAGGGTTCCCCAAGTGTGGCCTGGGACCCCCAAACAGAAGAATCCTAAGTGGCCCCTGCAGCCACACTGGGGACCGCCTGGGCTGGTCACTTGACATTTACCACACTCTGTGGCCCTCATGCTACTGTGCAGATGGGCACTGTTTACGCCCCAGACATTGGTGAGCCCCCATGGAGTACCTTCTTGTTTGCCCTTGCCAAGGTCAGACCAGAGAAAGCGCCTCTGAAGGGTGGATGCTCAGAGCTTCCAGTGGGGCAGCCAAAGGGTAGGGCCTGGAACCAGCCTCAGAGGCCCCTGGGGAATCCACCCAAGAGAAACTCACCTCACAGTGTCCTCTGTCTTCCGCAGCCTCTAAAAGGCCCAGGTCTTGGTTAATCCAGGACTCACCCACCAGGGGCTTAAATTTTTACCCTCTGTTCTGGGAAAAGCATCCTGATGAGGCAGGCCCTGCCCATGGTCCTCCCACCTGGTAATCTCCTTGATGCTCTCCCCAGCCTTCAGGAGAGGGAGAGCAGTGCTCGCCCTGCCCCTAGTCCCCCAGGACACTTCCCGCAGAATTTCCCCAAGCAGCAGCTCTCCTGGTGTTCTGTGGCTTTTATGTGCTGCTCAGTCAGGTGTGGCCAGAAGAAGAGACACAGGACAAGCTCAGGAAAACAAAGTCCATCATGCTTACAGATCCTGGAAACAGGAGGCGCGGCCCATGAGGAAGGACACATGAGAAAGTACAGCATCTGTCGGAGGCAGCAGGGGCAGGAGCAAGGGGGAGCTCTAAGCCAGAGCCTTTACTGGGGTTTCCAAGGGAAAAGCAAGGCAGAGCAGAGCTCACAGCACAGGACTGGCTAGCTGGAGTGATTCCTGTGGGCCTTCAGCTGTGGGAGTGTCCCCCAGCTGCTTGGCTCCTGTTCCTGGGATGATTAAGACAGAGGAATATTGTCTCCCGCAGTGTGTGGACCAGATAGAGCCACTGGTGAGGCTCTGGATTGGTTAGTCTGCATATCAAGGGTATGCTCCAGGCCAAGCATTGTGGCTCAGGCCTGTAATCTCAGTGCCTTGGGAGGCTGAGCTGGGCGGATAGCTTGAGCTCAGGAGTTCGAGACCAGCATGGGCAACGTGGCAAAACTCCGTTTCTACTAAAAATACAAAAATTAGCTGGGCATGGTGGCATGTGCCTGTAATTCCAGCTACTTGGGAGGGTGAGGCACAAGAATCCCTTGCACCTGGGAGGCAGAGGTTGCAGTGAGCTGAGATCGCACCACTGCGCTCCAGCCTAGGTGAGAGACCAAGACTTTGTCTCAAAAATAAACAAATAAACATTTATCATTGCACACATTTTCTGTGGGTGGGGAATTTGTGACCAGCTTGGCTTGTGATTCTGGCTCAAGGTCTCTCACGAGGTTGAAGTCAACATAGCAGCCAAGACTGCAATCATCTGAAGGCCCCACTGGGTTTGGAGGATGCACTGCTCCAATGCCTCTCCACAGGACCGCAGACCTGAGTTTCCTCATGGCCAGGCAGCTGAATTCTTCCAGCATGGGTGACCCAAGACTACAGGCACATGCCACCACGCCTGGCTAATTTTTGTATTTTTAGTAGAGACAAGGTTTCACCATATTGGCCAGGATGGTCTCGATCTCTTGATCTCATGATCCGCCCGCCTCAGCCTCCCAAAGTGTTGGGAATACAGGCGTGAGCCACTGCGCCCTGCCCCGCTTTTTTTTTTTCTTGAGACAAGAGTCTAGCTCTGTCACCCAGGCTGGAGTGCGGTGGTGCAATCTCGGCTCACTGCAACCTCTGCCTCCCAGGTTCAAGCAATTCTCCTGCCTCAGCCTCCCAAGTATCTGGGATTACAGGTATGTACCACCACACAGGGCTAATTTTTGTATTTTTAGTAGAGACGGGGTTTCACCATGTTGGTCAGGCTGGTCTCAAACTCCTGACCTCAAGTGATCCACCTGCCTTGGCCTTCCAAAGTGTTGGGATTACAGGAGTGAGCCACCTCACCTGGCCAATAAAAATTTTTTTAAAGCTAAAATTGACTCTCAGGCAAATGAGATAAAATGAACATACGTTAAATATTTTAACTTAATAAGAGAAAGAGTTAAGACGTTACCAGTTATTTAATGATGGAGGAAAGGACCAAAAGCCAAGGAATACATCGAATGCAGCTCTAGGTGCTGAAAAAGACAAGGAAAGGTTCTACGTTAGAGCTTCCAGAGGGAGCTCAGCCCTGTCAACATCTTGTTTCAGGTCACTTATATCGATGTCAGACTTCTGGTCCCCAGAACTGCGAGAGAATATATTTCTGCTGTTTTAAGCCACCAAATCTGTGGTAATTTGCTGCATAACCACAGGAAACTAACACACCATCCCTCAGTTCTGCTTTTCTGTATGGACTCCTTTCTCTAACAGATTCATCCCTCATGAGGGCAAGAAGGCAGCAGCTGCCCCAGCTGACAGGTGCTCACAGCCTCAGGTTCAAAGCAGATAGAGGCCCTAACAGTTCAGAGAGAAGTCCCATGATGCTAACAGGTCCAAAGTGACCATTGCCAGGGCCAGGGGGATGGACTGCCCTGTGCTGTGGACCTGGGCCATGTACCCACACCTGCCCAAACCACCTGGGCTGGGGTGAGAGCTCCCTAGTACAAATTGGTACAAAAAAAGCTCGTGGAGGCCGGGTGCAGTGGCTCACGCACGTCTGTAATCCTAGCACTTTGGGAGGCCAAGGTGGGAGGATCACTTGAGCCCAGAAGTTCAAGACCAACCTGGGCCATGTAGCGAGATCCCGTCTCTAGCTATTCATTTATTTTAACTTACAGCATCCGGTCTATGTTGTTTTTTGAGACGGAGTCTTGCTATGTCACCCAGGCTGGAGTGTGCAGTGGCACGATCTCCGCTTACTGCAACTTCTGCCTCCCCGGTTCAAGTGATTCCCCTGCCTTAGTCTCCAGAGTAGCTGGGATTATAGGCGCACGCCAACAACCTGAATTTTTGTATTTTCAGTAGGGACGGGGTTTCACCATATTGGTCAGGCTGGTCTCAAACTCCTGACCTCGTGATCTGCCCGCCTCGGCCTCCCAAAGTGCTGGGATTACAGGAGTGGGCCACCGCGCCCTGCTTATTTATTTTAGCCAACAGCGCCCGCTGTTCCCAGGCGGTCTCCCAAGTACTAACCAGGCCCGACCCTGCTTAGCTTCCGAGATACCGACTCTAGGGGATGCCAGCTTAGTGGGTGTTCCACAGCGCGTGGGTGTGAGATGCAACTCAGTGGCGTGAACTCAGCGAGTTTCCAGGGTGGTAAAGACGGCCTGGGGCGGAGGAGGACGGCCAGGGAGGAGCTACATCGGCCCGACCTGCGTTCACGACCCGGGCAGCCCTGGGCGCCTGTGTAGCTGTTGGATGTGTGCCGCAGAGGCGCGCCGGGTACAGGAAGGGGCGGAGCGCATCCATGGCAACGCAGGACGCCAGAGTAGCTCGGCCTTGGCGCCGCCCCACGGGAACCAGAAGGCGCGCGCCCGCAGCCGCGCCACAGTTACGCAGGCGCGGTGGGGAGAACCGCAAGGCTTTGGGCCGCTCCGCCGAATGCAACCGCGCCCCCCAGGAGACCCGGTACCCCCCTCCTACCATTCCCCGTGCCTCCGTGCAGGCCCCTCTCAGGCAGCGCGTAGTGGACGCAGGGGCGGGCTGAGGACGGTGAGTGACGCCGACGGACACCCTCCGGCCAAGCACAGATCTGTCCTCCGGCTCCACCCACTCTCGCCGCGCGGGGCAGGGCGGGGCTCGGCCCTGAGCAGCGCCCTCTGGGACCACAGAGATAGGCCTCCGCGCCCTCCAGAGCGGCCCGGAAGTAGCTCTGCACAGGCCAGAGGCGACCGTGGTCGGGGCGGAAACGGCTCCTGTCCGCCGCTTGCTCGGTGAACGCGAGCCTTATAGCATTCAGTTCTGTAGCATCGTTCCTCCTGCTCGTTTATTCTTTGACTCATTCACTCATCACTCCTCCAGCCTTGTGGCTCCGCCTTCATGTCCTGCCGCGCCATCATTTCTTCCCACATTCATTTATTCGTTCATCAACCCCCACCCGCGCCTCGTAGTTCCGGAGCTCACCAGGCTAGGCCTCGCCTCCGAGACTGCGGAGCTGCCCGCACAGGCCTCGCGCCACCCGGCCGCAGCCTCTTCCCGTTTTTCCACCCCGTATTTGTCCACTCTAGGCCTTGGGGGTTGGTGGGGAGACAAATACCAGTGACCGGTCAGACGAGTGCCCGTTGTTGGGGGCGTGGGCGCTGGGACTGACGCGGGAGGTGGCTCTGATCATGTCGTGGTGAGGAGGAGGCGTTCAGGTTCAGAAAGGGCGCGCGGCGTGGATGTGAGTACGTCGGGGAGGCTGGAGCAGCGAGGCCGACAGGAAGGACCTTCCGGGGCTCACATGGTATCCCACGACGAGGACGGACTCAGGACGGCAGCACTATTAGATGGGGCTGGGGGCCGGCGAGTCGGGTCGCACAGCACAGGCCCTGGATGAAGGGGCAGCGGTGCCTGGCTCCACCTTAAGAAACATGGGCCCTTGGGGGCCCGGATTTCTGGGTCTTCAATACACAAATATAGATTTTTATTGAAATCGGATGTCATTTTATTTTAAAATTTAACCTTTGATTTGAGGTAATTATAAATTCACATGCAGTAACACATAATGCATACCCTATGTACCCTTTACCCAGTTCCCCTAAAGGTGGCATCTTGAAAAACTAGAGGTCAGGTTCGGTGGCTCATGCCTGTAATCCCAGCACTTTGGGAGGTCAAGGCGGGTGGGTGGATCCCTTGAGCTCAGGAGTTAAAGACCAGCCTGAACAACGTGGTGAAACCCCATCTCTACTGAAAACACAAAAATTAGATGGGAGTGGAGGCTGGTGCCTGTAATCCCAGCTACTCAGGAGGCTCAGGCAGGAGAATCGCTTGTACCCAGGAGGCGGAGGTCGCAGTGAGCCCAGATCGCGCCACTGCACTCCAGCCTGGGCAACAGAGCGAGAGACTGTCTCAAAAAAAGAAAAGAGAAAAACTAGAGTACAATATCACAACCGAGATGCAGAACATTTCCATTACCACAGGATCCCCATGTTGCCCTTTCAGAGCCGCATACCCTTCCCTCCTACCTCTGCCCCCTGTTAACCTCTTTTTGTCAACTAGTAATCTGTTCTCATGTCTACCATTTTGTCATTTCACGAATGTTGCATAGACTAGGCGAGGTGTCTGGCGCCTGTAATACTAGCACTTTGGGAGGCCAAGGTGGGTGAATCACCTGAGGTCAAGAGTTCGGGACCGGCTGACAGGCCGGGCGCGGTGGCTCACCCCTGTAATCCCAGCACTTTGGGAGGCTGAGGAGGGCGGATCACGAGGTCAGGAGATCGGGACTATCCTGGCTAACATGGTGAAACCCCGTCTCTACTAAAAATACAAAAAATTAGCAGGGCGTGGTGGCAGGCGCTTGTAGTCCCAGCTACTTGGGAGGCTGAGGCAGGAGAATGGTGTGAACCCGGGGGGGCAGAGCTTGCAGTGAGCCAAGATGGTGCCACTGCCCTCCAGCCTGGGCGACAGAGCAAGACTCCCTCTCAAAGAAAAAAAAAAAAAGTTCGGGACCAGCCTGGCCAACATGGTGAAACCCCATCTCTACTAAAAAATAACATAACATAACATAACATAACATAAAATAATTAGCCAGGCCTGGTGGCAGGTGCCTGTAATCCCAGCTACTGAGGAGGCTGAGGCAGGAAAATCGCTGGAATCCTGGGGCAGAGGCTGCAGTGAGCTGAGATTGTGCCACTTCACTACAGTCTGGGCGAAAGAGTGAAACTCCATCTCAAAAATAAAAAAATAAAAAATTAGCCAGGTATGGTGGCACGCACTTGATGTCCCAGCTCCTTGGGAGGCTGAGGTGGGAATATGGCTTGAGCCTGGGAGATGAGATCATACCACCGCACTCCGGCCTGGGTAACAGAGCCAGACCCTGTCTCAAAAAAAAAAAAAAAGAAAAGAAAAGAAAGTATTGCATAAATGGAGTTATACAGTTTTTAAGCTTTTGAGATTGGTTAACTTTTTAAAAAACATAAATACCATAAAATTCATCCTTTAAAGTATATGCTTCAGTGGTTTTTAGTATATTCAGTATTGCACAGTCATCACCACTAATTCCAGAATATTTTCATCACTCCCACAGCTGTATCTCCCATTTCTGTCTTCCCTTTAGATCCTGGCAAACACTAATCTACTTTCTGTCTCTTATAGACTTATCTGTTCTGGACATTTCATATAAATGGAATCACATAATATGAAGTATTTTGTGTCTGAATTTTTTCATTTATACTTAGCATAATATTTTCAAGATTCATTCACCTTGTAGTGTGTACCTACTTTATTCTCTTTTTATTTTATTTTATTGGGACAGAGTCTCGGTTTGTCACCCAGGCTGGAGTGTAGTGGCACAATCTCGGCTCACTGCAACCTCCACCTCCCAGGTTCAAGCAGTTCTCTGCCTCAGCCTCCCGAGCAGCTGGGATTACAGGCACCTGCCACCACGCCTGGCTAATTTTTGTATTTTTGGTAGAGAGGGGGTTTCACCATGTTGGCCACGCTGGTCTTGGGGAACTCCTGACCTCGTGATCTGCCTGCGTCGGCCTTCCAGAGTGCTGGGACTACAGCCGTGAGCCACCGTGCTTGGCCTAACTTACATTTTTAAAACACTTCCTGGAGGGGACAAACAGGACCCATCTGCTGGTCTGACTCCGGGTGTCCTGTTCACAATCTCTGCCTTAGGTGTTCTGTGTGTGGGATGAAGGGAGCCAAGGAGACAGGGCAGGGCAGGGACCCTCAAGAAAAGCAGGGAGAGGGGAATGGATGGTACAAGCAGCCATGGCACCTCATTGTGTCCCTCAGGCACCTGGACACACAGGTGGGCAAAAATGCTGACGCTGGGGGCCAGAAGCGCTGATACCCCCATTCTTCCATTTTTACTCAGTCTCAGGTGGTCCCAAGGAGGGGACCTTCGTGGCCTTGCTGTGCTCACAGGCTCACCTTTGTTTCCAGCTCTAGAGAAAGTACCCTGGGCCATGCAGCTGCCTTCCCCTCCCGGGGAAGGGGCAGGATGGCTGCCCAGACGAGTGGGGCATGAGCCCTGGCCCCCTAGGTCCTCCAGAGTCCACTGGAACTGATGGTGGGTGAGCCCAGCTCGAAGAGCCCTGGCCAGTGCTTCTGGGGGTTCCCCTACGAGGAGGCAGCAGGGCCCCAAGGGGCCCTGGCTCAGCTGCGTGAGCTGTGTTGCCAGTGGCTGATGCCCAAGGCCTGCTCCAAGGAGCAGATGCTGGAGCTCTTGGTGCTGGAGCAGTTATTGGGCACACTGCTCCCGGAGATCCAGGCCTACGCGCAGGAGCAGTGGCCAGGCAGTCCTGAGGAGGCCACCGCCGTGGTGGAGCGGCTGCAGCAGGAATCAAGCAAGCGGAGGAGAGTGGTGCCATACAGCCAGTGCAGGTGCGTAGGCAGCTTTGAGTCCTTCCACGATGCTGGCGCCCCCTCCCCTCCTGCTGGGCGGGGCCAGGTGTAGGGATGTGCACGTGGCCCTGTCAGGCAGGCCCAGAGTGCTGGCCCGTCCCGAGTGTCTAGCCCGCCTGCTGAACTTCCTGCTCCAGGCTCCAGAGGGCACTGGGCATCCAGGGCCGTGGAGGAGAAGAGTGGGGATGACAGCCCACCCACCGTCATGTCTCCCAAAGGCCCTCTGTCTGGTGTTCTTTGTTTTCTCTAAGGCACTTACCTTTTCTCTCCTGTTTTAGGTCACAGGCGCGAGATGGAGTCCCCAGGAGGGAGGAACCTGCAGATGGCCCCAAAGGAAGGCCAGGGCCTCTGCAGTATGAAGACTGCCACGAGGCGCCCCTCTGAGGGGGCTGTGTCTGGAGGCTGGGGGTCCTGGGAAGACTCCACGGAGGTCCCAGGGGAGGCAGGGGACGGCGAGCGGCAGCAAGCCACACTGGGGGCGGCGGACGAACAGGGGGGCCCCGACAGGGAGCTGGGACCCGCAGATGGTGGGCGGGACGGGGCTGGGCCCCGGGAGTATGTAGACTGGACGTTGCGCCCTTCGCCTCTCCCAGAGGAGCCCGGCTGCCGGTGCGGGGAGTGCGGCAAGGCGTTCAGCCAGAGCTCCTACTTGCTGCAGCACCGGCGCGTGCACACAGGCGAGAAACCGTACACGTGCCCCGAGTGCGGCAAGGCCTTCGCCTGGAGCTCCAACCTCAGCCAGCATCAACGCATCCACAGCGGCGAGAAGCCCTACGCTTGCGGGGAGTGCGGCAAGGCCTTCCGCGCTCGCTCGCAGCTCATCCACCACCAGGAGACGCACAGCGGCCTGAAGCCCTTCCGCTGCCCGGACTGCGGCAAGTCCTTCGGTCGAAGCACCACGCTGGTGCAGCACCGACGCACGCACACGGGCGAGAAGCCCTACGAGTGCCCGGACTGCGGCAAGGCCTTCAGCTGGAACTCCAATTTCCTGGAGCACCAGCGCGTGCACACGGGCGCGCGGCCACACGCCTGCCCGGACTGCGGCAAGGCCTTCAGCCAGAGCTCCAACCTGGCTGAGCACCTGAAGATCCACGCGGGCGCGCGGCCACACGCTTGTCCCGACTGCGGCAAGGCCTTCGTGCGCGTGGCGGGGCTGCGGCAGCACCGGCGCACGCACAGCAGCGAGAAGCCCTTCCCCTGCGCCGAGTGCGGAAAGGTTTTCCGCGAGAGCTGTCAGCTCCTGCAGCACCAGCGCACGCACACGGACGAGCGGCCCTTCGAGTGCGCCGAGTGCGGCCAGGCTTTCGTCATGGGCTCCTACCTGGCGGAGCACCGGCGCGTGCACACGGGCGAGAAGCCCCACGCGTGCGCCCAGTGCGGAAAGGCCTTCAGCCAGCGCTCCAACCTGCTCAGCCACCAGCGCACGCACTCGGGCGCCAAGCCCTTCGCCTGCGCCGACTGCGGTAGGGCCTTCCGCGGCAGCTCGGGCCTGGCGCACCACCGGCTCACGCACACGGGCGAGCGGCCCTTCGCCTGCGCAGAATGTGGCAAGGCCTTCCGCGGCAGCTCCGAGCTGCGCCAGCACCAGCGCCTGCACTCTGGCGAGAGGCCGTTCGTCTGCGCCCACTGCAGCAAGGCCTTTGTGCGCAAGTCGGAGCTCGTCAGCCACTGGCGTACGCACACGGGCGAGAGGCCCTACGCTTGCGGCGAGTGCGGGAAGCCCTTTAGCCACCGCTCCAACCTCAACGAGCACCAGAAGCGGCACGGGGGCCGCACTGCGCCATGACCCGAGGACGCGCCTGAGCGGGAGGTCGCGGACACGCGGCACTGCGGGGTCCCGGGCGTGAGTGCACTGTCTGCTGGCCCAGCCTTTTTCGGGCCACCAGTGCGGGCGCCCTCCTGCTGGGAGTGCAGGGGTGGCATTGGGCGTGGGGAACCCTGGCTGCACAGTCCCTTTGACAATAGTCCCACCGGCCACCCAGACCTGGCTGGGACATGTGGGATAGGCTCTTGACCTCAGGGAAGGTAGTAAGCTCCACTTCGGCGAGAGGTTCGTCCATGCAGAGGTGGGCAAGAACTGGGGTCTCCGACAGGTGTGGTGGTCTCCTCTGAGAACTGTGTGAAATTGCTCCGGCAGGGAACAAGGGCAGGGTGTGAGTCCCCTCTCCTCCCTCCTTCCACCCCAGCGAGAACGGAAGTTGTACGCGGGTTTTCTGTCTCCGGCCAAGGCCTAGGAGGTTTAGAGGCCTGGCTCTGGGGACCCTGAGGGTAGCAGGAGGCCTAGGGCGGGGGAG